TACTTAGTGTGGATCCACCTCGGTACAATGACTTGTGGCACAGACAACAAGGCCAAGGGCCCCCATGCCAGTCTCCCACTCTTCAACAGCCAACGGGCTGGGGTGATTTGAGAAAGGAAATCACCAATACCATTTTAAGATCCTTCTGATACTAAAAGTGTTACTTCAGTGTCCCTCCTATGAAAAGCCTTCCTCCCTACACCCAAGTCAGTGTTCGGTGTTCTTCCTTCCATGATCCTAGGCATATTGCACACTGGCAGGAAATTACTAGTGGGTCCTAGGAGCAGGGACCCATTCTTCTTCTCTCTTCTCCTGGGTGGAGCACACACACAGCACATAGTAAACTCTTGAGGTAAAAAGACAGGAAGAAAGCACAAGATCCAGGAAACCCAGTGCCTCCCCACCACTCTATGAGAGCAGCTACTGTGATTTTCACCATCCCTGTATTCTCAGTGCTCAGCACAGAGCCTGCCATGTCACAGCACCCTGGACAATAGGGAATGAATGAATAAACACATGTATACAACCCCGATTGTGCCAACCAACAAACAGGCAATGCTGAAACATTCAAAACCCAGAGCTGCCCTTGGGAATTCTCTCCCTGTTCTGGGCTGGATAAAAAGTGATGAGATTCAGGACACCCTTTTGTAGGATCCTTGCTTTCTCAGATCAAATTAGCGATCAATTAAAGAGCAAGTGCCAAGCACAGGGATCTTTGTAGTTTGGCTCTTGAGGAAGGTCAAGGCTCCCTCACCAGCCACTTACAAGGCTTCAGAGAAGAAAGGCAGCAGGCACTTAAAAAGCCTGAAGCCAGCAGCAAGGGGAGGGGAAAGGTCAGAGGTCAGACAGCCCACAAAGGGCACCAAGTCTCCACTAGACTCTGGCTGCCTAACCTTAGCATGGCTACCAGCTCCCTAGAGACCCCAAAAGCACCTGCTCATCCCTTCAACCTTGGCAGGTAGCCCCCATGACATCCTGGAGAATGAAGCAGGGTATAGACAATCAAAGGGAGTTGGCTCCTGGTCCGAAATCCAGAGAAAAGGGGAGGCAGGTAATAAGAGACCATGTACGCTGCTGCTTGGGAGGGACTGGCACATAGCAGGTACTCCATAAAAGCTGGCCAAATGGCATGTTGGTAGGGCCCGAGTGAGTCCTAGATGGCCCACCATTCTACTCCTACCAGGCACCCCAGCTTCAAGGTTCACAGCAGACCTAGCACGCTGAGCTAGTTTTCTTGCTATAAAATGGGAGACACCTTCATCACTCTGAGTCCCTTGGCATCGTCTCAGCCAGAAAGGACATGCAGGGTGGGTGCTGGCCTATCATACTACACCTCCACTTGTGTCTGAGGAGCAGCCTGGAGGTGGGCTGTGGTCTCTAGGGAAGGGAGGCTGACAGCTCCTCTTCACAGACAGGTGGGCACCAATGCATGGGGGCCTAGGAGCTGAGCCTCTCCCCTGCCCCTGGTCCCCCAACTTGAGAAAGGCAGCTGCTTCATCAAATTGTGAACTAATTAGGGCTGTCTCTCCCATCATGTACATGAGGAATGCTCACCCACAACAGGAGGGTCTAGAAAAAGACAACAACCACGCAAACATCAAATGCCATCTCCCAGGGAAGGGGGGGCTGCAAGGCCCGACATCACATCAGCCTCAGGGAGTGCCATGGAGGAGCCCCACCCTCAAGGGCCTACAGGGCAGCGGGGACAAGGCCCTCCAAAGACAATGCATGAAGCTTTGTTCTTGTCTACCGATCTGCTAAGAAAAAGACCTAGAGACAAGACAATCATCCAGCTGACTGGGAGACAAGCTCAGAGCCCAGGCACAGAGCAGGTGGCTAATAAGACAGCCTGAACGCACTGGGCTCAAGGATGGGCCTGGGCATCTCCCAGGGCAGTGGCCCTGTCACCAACAGCAAGAATAGTGTTGGGGGAAGGGAGAGACAATATGCATAAGACTTGAACTCTGCCCACCCATGTCTCACCTGGTAGAAGAGAAGACTCAAACCCCTAAAGGAAACCAAAGCACAAACAAGAAACAAGCTCTCAGGGACAAAGGGGCCACATACTGTGTAGGCAAATTCCTGGGATCCTCCAGATAAAGAATAAACTGATGAGGCGTGAAGAAAAGATGCAGAAAGCCCATAAGAGATATGGCTTCCCTGGTACGTCTTGCCCACAGGAGCCCCAGTGTGGGTTAGAGGGGGCCTGACTGTGTCCTAGGAAAGATGGAGAGACAAGCCACTGCTCAGAGAAGTCTACATGCAGGATAGATCCTGAGGGAAGCTCAGCCAGCTCTCTGCCACTCAACACTGCACAAGTCAGGATCTACATATATGAGAGGCCCACCACCAGATTCTAATTACAGGTTTCAGAGTGAATGAACGAATGAATGGGCTAGGTAACCTTAGGCCAGACCAGGTGGCTCTGAACCTAAGGTCTGTGGGGTTCAGAGAGAAAACAGGAAGTCTGGGCTAGAAGAACCAAGAGGGCTACATGGGAGAGATGAGAGTGCAAGAAGCTGGAGTAGAGGTGAGGAAGACAGCCTGTGGAGAGGAGAAAGTGCAGGTGCTCGAGGAACAACATACGCATGTGCAGAGAGGCAAAGACACTGTTTGGTGGAAGGCCGCTCTGGAGAGTCATGAAAAATGGGGCTGAGAAGTAGAGTCATCTTGATACCAGGAGGCCAGTCTAGTAGTGCCAAGGAAGTCTGTTGGCTGGGATGAAAAAGGGGTGATGCTGAACCCAGACACTGCCCAGTAAATGGACTTTGCTCCTGCTTCTCCTTCCTCAGCCCACACCCAAAATAAAATGCGGAGTCGAAAATAAGTGCCTCCAGGGCACACAGACACCAGAGAGAGCCCAAGAGTAGGTCCTGCCTCAGGACAGTGACCCTGGGGACAGGAGATGTGCTGGAGGGACACTCTAAGCCAAGCATAGCCCACTACTCCCAGGTCAGGTCAGCTCCGGCTATGTGGTGTGTGCCTATATCTGCCTAGCCTCCCGGCACTGACACCCTTTCCTTCCTCCCTTTGAGACACTGCTGCCTCTCTCCCTCCTTGTAGACCTGATGGGGCGGGTCCCAATTCCCCAGGCTACAGGGGAGGGCTTGTGGTCCAATGCTGGCCCATCAAGCACCCCCATCATCATGGCCTCGGTGGATCACCTAGGACTGGGCAATCAGAGCCCTTCAGTCTTCTACACTGGAGTCAGGACAGAGAAAAGTTCTCTTCTACACAAGGTAGGTGGCTATAAGCCAGGAGCACCTATTGCCAGGCCAGCAGTGGCCAAGTCCCACGCATCCCCACGGGGGATGCCCACTTAGAGTATGAGAGAATAGAGCTCATACACAGGAGATAGAAGCCAGAGAGAAAAACAGAAAGCCTGATACTTTTTGTCACTTGCTGAAATCACTTTCTTAAGTCAATAAATCTACTGTTTCACCTGCAGCAATCCTGAAGGACCTGAGTGAGTAGGGAAGGACCATGGGCCAAATGTGGGCCTGTGGCCAAGTGGCCTCAGCAGCCCTGGGCCCAGGCCCTGCCTGACCTTTTTTCCTGACCAACTGAAATGAGAGCCCCCACTTAACCCTGGGCCCTACCCCAGGCTTCAGTGGCTCAGCAGACACTTCAGGAGTTCCTTTTAATGCTACTCACTCAAGAGGCTGAGAAAACACAGCAGAGGGAGGGTAGGGTAGGAATGACCAAGCTTGTATTTCCACATGGCGCTCAATCCATCCAGGCAGGGACAACACAGCCCAGCATTTTGTGAGCAATCTGCCCCGGAGGGGCAAACGCCAACATGCTCTCAGAACCTCTCCCCGCAAGGCAGCTCTGTCTTGGGCTCTGAATGCCCACTGCTGTATGCTTTTGGGGAGGAAATGGCCAAAGTAGTTCAGTGAGGTGCCAGAACCTGGGAAACGGTTGGTGAGAATTTGTGAATAGCTGATGGCCTTGGGCAAGTCTCACCTCAGCTAAAACTATCTTGTGTTAAAGATAGAATAGGTAGTAATGCCAAAATGCTAGCCAATGAATTGTGACTGAAAGAGTATGATCACAGTGGGTTTGCTACACAAGGAGGTCAGACCATACCCTTTAAGAACGCAGCTTTATTCAGCCCAGATGCCTCGGGCACATATAAACTGGCATTATCCGCCTCCCCGCCTATAGACTCAAGACCAGAGCTGAGGCCCATGCCTGAGGGTGGGGAGTCTTGCTCCTGGAAGATGGGGTATCCTGACAGTTGTAGATTTGAGTTAAAAGGGCAGGGGCCTGGCATGCCTCTTAGTGACATCAGTGGTGCCGGTGTGTTCAAAGTCAACAGAAGGATATTAAGGATATAGCTCGTCTCTGATGAGATAAATGAGAATAGACCTTGTTCAGGGCTAAGCCGGCTGCACTGCATAAACACCATCAGCAGTGGATCATCGGGACACTCACAATCAGCAG